CGGCGTACCACCCTGCAGAGCATCTTATCGGAAGCATGTAGGCGAGGCGCAGGGAAAGCCCATGCAAATTCGATTGTTGCCACAGTTCAGAGGCTTGATCCTGCATCTTAGCTTACTAGCGGTTAGCTTGGGCTAAAACTTCCTATTCCCCAGTAACCACCAGTAAGTTGGTAGTCCAGTACAAAGGCCTTTTTGTCTATTGGGTATTTTTACCCCAGAGTGGACAGCTAAGAATAGCTAGGGAGGTTCTTAAAATCAGGTCCCGATGGAAAGGGCTCTGCTGTCGAAGGTTACTTAGGGTAGTTTAGAGCAAATCAGCTGGCTACCCATATGAACCTTAGTCTAAACTCCTAGTATCCCACTTAATGGCCCCTATGGTGGTCCCCTACATATCCCTTATGTAACCCCCTTTTAAGCAATTCAGATTAGGGCTCATATGCGGCTATGTCAACAATGACGCACCCGAGGGTTGTATCCCAAAAGTTTAGGCCGTTTAGAGGTTAGAGGTTGGCACAGATTTATAGGGGTCCAAGCATTCAATAAGTAGGCGATCGGGCTTTGGCAGTAGCAATTGCAAGACAGGTTTCTGGGAAGCATATGATTATTAGGTACTTGGAACCTTATTGGCCGGGTAGGGTTTCTAAGATTTGGGAGTTCGCGTACTTGTAGTTGTACGAGGGCTTGTCAATTGCATCTCCAGGTGATTGTTACCGCGCGCGACTCTTGACGAAGGCCTGTATGTTAGGGTTGTGTATATAACCATAAACCACAAGCGCAATTCTCCCTTTTCTTCGTAATTACGGGAACGGTCATGTGCGACTTGAACTTGCTTGGGTAAGTCATCAGGTGTGGGCATTGTCCTTGGCAAAGTCATCCGGATCCTCTCCGTGAACAGAACCTGCCAAAGAGAATCACCGCGCTTTATTGTCGTTAGCAGACAGCTGCTGTTATACAGTTGGCATGTACTCTGAATGGCCACAGCAACAACCCACTTCCTTCGCCATGGCAGCCGCTGCTGAACCAGCACCGCCGCCACAGCTCCACCGCCACCCCCACGGCCACACTGGCACCACAGCAACAACAGCTGCTTTCGTTCTGTTTCTACCACAAGTATCACCAGCACCAGTTCCACTTGCACTCTGCTCTCCTAATTGCTCATGTCATCAGGCCTGTTGCGTTAATTCAGCAACGCTAAGCATGCCAGTCGACAGGGTTTGGAGTGACATTAGAAACGAGTAGCCTTGAAGAACGAGCTGACGTCAGTAACTTCCCCGTACCCTAAGATTTACCTACCTGAAGGGGGCTATCAACATTTACCAAGTAACAAAAGCCTGCTGCCAATTGATGCAGCACCCTTGCTGGCGGCTGTAGCGAAATCATCAGAAGGCCATCGCTAGTCTTGGGGGTGTAGGTCAAAAAGCAGAGGTCTCCCCAAGGCACGCGATGACGACAAGTGAAACATGATGAGTCTTTTGGCAGGTAGGGCCTGCGCAAGCAACTCATCAACATCCAGAACGAAAGCCAGCCTGCGTGTTGAGGCTTGATTTGAATGCGGGTGGCGATCCATATTGAGCGCTATAATAACGGATTATGTTGAGGGTATATTGGGATGATGGAAAATAAAATGGAAACTAATACAAGGGGTTGTATTGGGGTTAACTCAGCCCTAGCTCGTGGTAGCTCTGCCCTTTCCTGAATCGACAAAGGATGGCTTAGGATAAGAACTAAGAAGGGCCGGAGCATGGCTAGCTTGGAGCAGCTTGCGTCGCGACGAAATACCCTGCACGAAGCCTGAACACTGCCACACAGGCCAACAACAAAAATGAGCAGAACACAACTTTCTGTGATCACCCAGCAAGGAACTGTGAAACAGACAGCGCAGCGCTGCAGGAATAGCATCGATGACAGCTGCAATGACAACTATGGCGACAAGGATGAAAAAACAGAAGGGTGGTGGTTGCAGGAGTGGCAGCGATCATAACTTCGGCAACAACCACGAGCCAGCCATGACAATGACAACATCCAATAGTTTTCTGTGAGCATTCTGAACAATAAGAACTACACAAAATGAAAGTGACAATCACTAGTCACTAGTCATCAGCACAATCATCGTGACCATGACGCTGTCACAACCAAAGCGCCAGTTGAAAAGAAAGACTGCAACACGCTTATTCAAATTGAACCTAGGATGTCCGTACCCGCACCGACAGTAGGTAAGCAGGATGGGCTGTTAGAGCCCTACATCCCATGATTACCTGCGGTTGAGTAGCGCCACAGCATTGAGCACGATGTCGTGCAAGGATGCAGTCTGGGCCAGATACTGGCATCCAACCTACATGTGCTCATGCAGGGAACCGTCCTCAAGTCCGCGCTAGAATTGCCCTACTGATATTCAAAAGATCTATGATCATCGAGTCAGACGTATGGTATGCGCAATCTCAAAACGTCTGGGTTGTTCTCTGAGGCCTCTTGCTTCAAGGATCCAAAAATAAGCGTACGATGGCAGCTGGAAGACTCTGTTGAATTCCCCCAAACCCTAAACCAGGAATGTGCCACGCTCAACTCTTCCAAGCGGCAATGCAAAGTCCGATGGTGATGAACAGCCGCGGTACGATCAAAGTGGCAAAGGCACAGAATCCTCAGCTTGCTTTAGGATTTTGACATTCACCACCAGGATACTCCTGAAAATGGCTACCCATTAGCTTGCAGATTTTATAGCTCTCCTATGGCAAGTAAATATACTTAGAAGGTTCTGACACCCTGTACAATCCTGAAAAGGAGGCCTAGAATCTCCCAGTAACCCCCCATGATATCATCCCTGGACTTTGTAAGGGCCCCCAATTCTGACAAATCCCACTTAGCCTGCAGTTTCCCTGAGTGTGTGCATACATGTGTATATATGTATATAGAGATGCACATGCACGTGGGCCTCTGTCGAGAAACAGCCCGGCGCATGCTAGCTGCGGATGTGTTTTGTCCCATCTGGAGTTGGGTTTTCGTTTGATGTTGCCCTTCTCGCGTTGCCCGGATTTATTGAGCTTACTGCACTCATGGTATTATCACTCGTGCTGTCACTACTACATACTATTTTTAGTACTACTTCCATTCCCACATTTCGCTGCACCTTGTGCTTTTGACATCCCAAGGTGCTCTTTGCAAGAGGGGCCTGCTAGCTGATATGCTACACGTGTGGTCTAACCATGATGTCTCTGTAAATCTGGATACCCTTAAAATAGGTATATTGGGTTATTTTAGGAGATTGTATAAGAACGATGTTAAGAAACTCCAAGTAGACTGGCGCAAATGCGTGGCGGGGACTTTGCTTGAATCCTAATGTTGGACCTCCTTTATTGAAAGGGTCCCCTATAATGAGTTTTGGGGCCTGCCTATTCAGGATCAGGGCAACGATTGCAAGGCCCCCTATAATGAGTTTTGATTTTAGTGCCCTAAAAATGTAGGAAGGATTCTGAACAATCTTTTTTAAATCAATCCACAGGGCTCAGACCCCGTGGGAGCTCAGGGGGCCGCGTTAAGGATCCCTAATTTCTATTTTTCGGAGGGCCCTAATGTTAGGGGGAGGGACCCCCCTGATTAAAGAGAGTCCAACATTATTGCGGAATGTGGCCTGCAAACCCAGCATATGGCTTTTGTCAAAACTAGCTCCCTCTACGTGGCCATGTCATCCTAGAATGGTCCTTTCAAGAGCAGAATGTAAGCGCCGGCCCATGACCGTTGGAGAATTGCAAGCCCTCACCCTATACAACCCCAAATTCTAGATCCTACACCCTGAGCCCTAATCTCTTCATGCAACCGCGGGGCGAAGCCATGGGAAGATGCCCAAGATCTCCTCTTCCTCCCCATCCTCCGAGTGTAACACAGTCGCATCACCTCAAGAAAGTCATTTCTTAGACCTTTCTGAAGTTCAGGCTTACTGGTTCTTAGTAGGGAATAAGCGAATAGATTCCATATATTATCCCCCAATAATATATTCCATATTCTCTAGTAAGAACCAGTAAGCAGGGGAGAAAGGGATGCTCTCGGAAATGTGGGCCCGTCGCGTCTTGGATTGGGCACACCGTATCCCGTGGAGATAAAGGATGTACGCTGCTTTCACAAAAGCGCATGTGTAGCTGATAATGCATGCAATTTGAAGAGACCTCAGGGTTGGCTTTGTGATGCTACGTGTCAGCAGCATCAGAAAAAGAGATCGTGTGCTGAGATGGCTCCCATGCGCATGGTGATCTATGCTTGACACTGAATTGGCCATATTGCACAGGCCGTGAACTCACACATCTCAAGTGTCCGAACTGCTAAAAGCCATGGGTCATAAAGCTGCACCTCCAACCCCTGGCATCAAACTGAACCTGCTAGTTTCCAAAAATATGGGGACATAATATAATCCCCCAGGTGCTAGAGTCCTTATGATGGGGACACCCAAGAAGGTACCCCTAGATTTGGGAAACCTTAATCCCTAAACCCTATGTAACTTCTATATCCCCTTTAGAGGCAACCCGAAATTTTTGGAAACCCCCCAAACGCAGTGGAGCCGCCCCCCCCGTCACCCCAAACCTCCAACACCAATGCACGGCAAATTGAAAATGGAACGAGCCTTCCCACCAGGTTCCCAAGCCCTATAAGAGGATTATGTAGGGTTATATATGGGAGCTTTAAGATCCCATGGCTACAAGTTTCGAGAAACGCTTTTAATCCTGATATGGAGGTGTCGCTGCTGCATGCGCACTGTAGGTAGATATGGCTATGCTGCAGCGGCCAGCTATAGTTGATCTTCTCTAGCAAGCCTGAAACGCACTCTTGACAGAAGACATCCTATTCAAGCCACACTCTGCCGGAATCTCTCAAAGTCCGGCCAGCACCCATTTCTGTACCCCGAAACACATACGTGCGGTACTACCACTGCTACACTGAAAGTGCCCGCACTTTTGAGTACAGCCCAAACTGTGATGACTGGATGGCAAGCATGCTCATAGGATTCAGGTAGCCTCGCTTCAGCCTTGGGAGGTTCCTTAGCTCTCCATGCAAGGCTTTGGGGTTGGACTTACTAATCATGGAAAAGAAAGTGGGAACTATTATACAATATCTAGGGTTTAGGGTCTAGGGTTCTATAGTATTTCGCTAAACGGTGAGGGTTTAGGCGGGTTTGGTTCCCTTGTCCTCCTCTTGCCCGTTTCTATCCTAATGATGGTGGTATATAGTTCAGTCAACGTAAGATCGGAAGGAGTCAGGGCATCTGACGCGCCGATACTTGCCCCCCAAACGGGACGGTCATGTTGGGACACACCGTGTATCCCTAGACTGCTAAACACGACCGGCGACCAGGTATCCCTTCAGTCTGCTGCTTCCACCCTTCCTTACGCAATATGGGGTTTAGGGTTTAGGATTTAGGGTTTAGGACAGGCTCCTAAACTATACGTACATGGAATCACAGGTGCTGCTCATGCTTATGCTGATTGCAGGGATGTGTCACGAGTGAGCCTAAATGCTAAGCCCAAACCCGGAACCCGAACTCCTGACCCTCACCAAAGCCTAAATCCTGAACCCCCCCAGGTCCAAGCCCTATAGTCCCCCTGAAGTAGATATAGAATATAGCTTCGAGTATATTATAATAGGATCCCCATATACCCCCATACTCTATCTACTTAATGGGGACTATAAATCAAAACTTGCACAAACTCCTCACTCCTCACCCCAGGCCTCCCTAAGCTGACCCAGCGGCCAGAGAGCCAGACCCTGCTCGCAACAGCGACGATACTCGGCCATCATTGTCAACACCCACCTAGGTTTACGCACGTGTAGTTACAATGGTATATAAGCTGATCTAGAAAGTACAACGTATAGAGTGGAAGGCATGGGGTTGTGGAAAAAAGAGATCTCCGGTGATTATGTGGAGGTTCTTGCACCGGGGGCTCTCGTGAGTAAGTGGGCAAAAGAGGATTCTGCTTATAGAGGTCCAGGGACGTGCTATATGCCTGTAATGTTCTAGTTGGGCAACACATTGGATTGTTAAGTCTCTTCGGGATCACCTCACTAGCCGTGCACACATCAAAGCCCAGTTACTTGAACGATTGAACTGAAGGTACCCGGCACAATCAAGGAACTCCATGAGGATTGTAGGATGGTTGTTCAGCTCTGTCCTATTCTCAACATTGCCTGGGTAGTGCGTGGTAGCTCCCGAGAGGCATCAGCCAAAATGTAGTACCCTCAACCCTGCACCAGCCTGCATCCGGAATTCTTCCCAAGGCTAGGTTGTACTTGACATGGAAAACCAAGGATCATGGTGACTTGGGGATGTTGAACAGATTCAAGCAAAGCTGTGGTGCTTAGGGCTGCGGATCGGGGGCTCAGGGTTCAATGCGCGGTGCAACATACTGTGGAACATTGCGAGGCCTGAAGCATGAAGGTGCGAATACCCAATTGCTGGAGGGAGACTATCACACCTTCAGACTTATGAGTCCTGCAAGTGGACCTCTCGATTTGGAGTCCGACGAATGAATTGGCACTGTATGTATGTTAGTGCTGAACACACGCCAGGCGTAAGCCTGCACGAAGCCACACAAACGAGTCCTCCGCCCGAACATCCCTCATCCCACGGCAGTCCTGTCTACTACAGAAAGTGATTGGGGTCCTTGTCGACGAGATTTTCTCTAGCCGAGCCGCATGATGATGGCCAGAACGCTCAAAATCCATCCAGGCATCGGCATGTAGAGGTACTCGAACATTTCCTTCACGGTTCTCTCTCAAACCAGAAGCCCCTCTAACCTACTTTGAGAAAAAATCCGGCTACACAACCCGATCCGTCTTCCTTCAGTCCCCAAGGCTGGATGGCCCCCCTTCAGCAAAGATTCCTGGGGGAAGGCTAACCCATCAACAGCGTGGCTTGGGCCACGCAGATCCCAAAGGACCCAAGAATTTATCTCTCACCCTAGCATGACTGCACACGAGAAAGTAAGTCGGCTCTGAGTCACGCCAAAACTGGGATTTTGACGAAACACACGAGCTGCTCCATCTTACGTGGTCTGATAGCAAGCCAGAGACAAGGGCCCGTTCTAAACAATCTGAAATCAATCCCAAGCTTCCTTGTACTCTTCTTGTTCGAACGACCACAGCTTCTGCTGACAGAGGCGATTGACCAGGGAATACCTCGCCCGCACTTCTGAGTGCTGCATGTGCATCTTAGAACAGGTCGGAACACTTTGCTCGGAACACTTCTGGTAAGCAACTTAGCATCCTGAGGGTGCAGCGGCAGGGCAGGACTACTTCTTTCTGGCAGAAGTGCTCTAGCCATGATGGGGCTTGAATACAACGTGACAATACGCGTACAAAATCTCAAAGACACAAGCTCGGTGCTATGGGGCGCCTGGCCTTTTTCAAAAACAAGCATGTAGCTTCCAATACTTACAATCCTCATGTACACATCCCAAGACCTGGCGCCACGGAACCCCAAACCCTACCGCCTGAAAGCCAATGACTCGCGAGGACTAATTACACGCCGAAGCAGGAGAAGTGGCACTGCACATTGCAGTTGTTGGTGATGCATGCGCAGGGGTTGCACAAATATTTTGGCCAGGGAGCCCGTTGTCTGAGTCGAAATTTGAGTTGGAGTGGCCTTGCAGTGCTCGCCACTGCACCATCTCCTTGACCTCCGAAAGGGCACACGAAGGATATAGCCATAGCTAATACTGGCGGAGGAATAGATGAAGCTGTGAAGGTGATACTTGCATACTGGTAACGAGCTCTTGGGGTTCAAAGCCGAGTGCTGGGAGTCACAATGGCTGAAGGGCTTGGGCGAACGGCAGCTTGCTTCGGGTGTAATGTTCCGACAAGGACTCTGGTGCCTATATAAACCTCGAAACACGCTTCTCGTTTTACATTCCAATTGCTTCTGCCCTTCACCGTAATTAGTCTCTGGCCAGGTCCCTGGTGTCACTCAAGGGTTGTAGGGTCATTGGGCGGAGGCATGTGAGCTGCCCCCCTCTTAGCCCTAAACTCCACGTGCCAAACCCTGAGCCCGTTTGGAGTGCAGTGCGAATCCAGAATCCTGCCATCTTGTGTACGCGGGGATCTTCTTGCTTGGTCTATGCAGCCGGGGAGGAACTCCAACAGTAACACTATGGCCGCCAGGAATCATGCCTCAAAATTAATGACAACAATGGAGACGAGGATCACAAACAACTTTAATGCGCAGTGTTAGTGGTAATAGGAGCCATCATTGTCGTCGGAGTCATCGTCATGGTTGGCGTGGTCGCTCGCCACTGCCGCTAGGGGAGGTGGAGGAGGCAAATGAGGACGAGGAGGAGCGGATAGGAGTAGGAGGAGGAGTAGCGGATAGGAGCAGTAGCCCCAGGAGTTGCTACAGTTACAGCAGAATGATCACGATGATCATGCGGCGACAAGAACACTGCCAAAGCTTTTGCGATGTCGATCAAACAGCCTTTGTAGAGGAGTAGGGGTTCTGGAGCATGTCGAAGAATACGGTGAAGAACAATGCCAGCTGCAACCCGCTGTTCACAATCATTCCTGCAGGCTCTCACGGGGCATTCAGGAACATATCGCAGGGCTGAAGGCTTTGGAACTATTTCTTGTTCATGATTTGAGCTTTCGTTGTAGTGATTGGTGTGCATGTAATGTCCCTGAAGGTTATTGGGCCTAAATGATCAAAGTATTTAAGCTTTGTCCTGTCATGCTAGGCAGCAGCTCTATCACCCTTCTTTGCTTGATCTGGCTGCAGGAAGTAACGGCTGTACAGCATACTGGCCCAGGTTGTGTGAAACATTCAAAATGTTGCCTTGCGGTGTATCTGCATGTCCCCATCAATAGACCTACCTTGATTTGTGCTGGTTGATATGTACAGGCACTAGGCGGCATGATGTCATATGGGAGGGAACCTCACTTCTTGTTTATAGCTGGGGTTTGGTTAACACCTGGATTCTGCCCGGGTAACTTTTGGTCGGGTAGGTTGAAGGTACAAGACATGTGGACCCTTCCAAAGTGAGCTTGGGATTCTCTTTCTGAGTGGGGGTTATAGGATGTTCTGGTTACAGCAGCGCTGGCCAAGTTTCACCCACACAGGTAATTTGGGCTTGACGCAAGAGATGGCTCTGTTTTCACGTGTCGTGTTGGTTACAAAACATTGGGGTGTGGGAAGGCAAGGCTCACATCCTGAGACTGTCCCGGAAAGCAGCGAGGTCCTATGCATAGGATCACCTTGTCAGTCCACGCCGTGTTGTGGCAGAATAACAGGACTGCCTCAGTCTCCATCGGTGAGACCCCTTAACATTACCAGGGGAGCCCGATCTCCATTTTACAGCTCATGCGTTCTTGCATATCCCTGCGCTACTTGCAAAGTTCTTGCGTTCCACATCGTGCGATTAGGTGAAACATTCGTGGACTTGTGCAATGTCAAGCTCACACCTGAAACCATGACACCTCTACAAGTAGAAGGGCATGCAGAACCAGCCCCTCAGACCCTACCCTAGCCACAGTTAATAGGGTTTAGGGCTTAGGGTTTAAGATGTGGATTATGCCATCATGGAGGGTATTTCTGAGGGAGCAGCGCTCTTGCAAGTAGTCAGGGGCAAAAATGGTAGTAGTAGCAGAAAATAGTACTAGTTAGTAGTAGTCGTAGTAGTAGTAGTCGTCGTCGTCGACGTCGTCGTCGTCGTCGTCGTAGTCGTCGTCAACTTCTAGCCCAGGGGCTGCGTCCCACATGGATTGATCCAGGTCGTACGACGCTGGTGGCGGCTCCTATTGAATGTCTGAGCGAAAAGGTATGGGCCCTACCTCCACCCCCTGAGCACCCTCGATTGGAGTCCTAGGGTGCTTCTTGAGATACCTCTCACGTCCTGGCTGGGGGTTCTGGGTGAGGCTCCCCTTATACATGCCAGGAATGTTTTTGTTGGCTTTAAGCACATTTCTCTCCTGGCACACCCCGCTCAAAACTCGTTGCCCAGCAAGCAGTGAGAATTACTGCAATACCGTGGGAAGATGTTTGGCAAAGTCTCTCGGGGTACAAGAACCAGAGCTGTCCGACGAAGCGAGCGTGTGCGCTTGCAGAGTCGCACTGGCCTGCAGGGATTTGGTAGGAAACTGTGGAGTACTGCAAGGGCCGAACATGGTTTGTTGCGTGAATAGGCAGGGGTTGTTTGCAACCTTGATGGCACCAAAGACGCATCCCTATCCTGACCCTGAATAGTCAGAGTTGTGTACTACTGGGCATCCTACTTTCTTTGTAAAGACCACCGAGGCTGATTTCCCAGCTGGAGCTGGCTCATACCCAAAGGGAGTCCATAAACTCTTCCAGGAACTCAAGACATGAATCCTAAACCCCTAAACCCTAAAACCCTAAACACAATAACAACTGACATGGCCACATGGGATCTCTGACTCTTGTCCCTTTGTTTGACCTTTCGGAGTTCATTGTAATCACCTATACTACCCCACTATAACCCCTATATATGACCCCTATCATACTGAAGTAGGTTCTATTTTCTGTTCCATCATCCCTATATAACCCCAGTAGCTAGTAGTCATTCGCTAGACTTCGTAAAGCCAAGAGTTCAAGATCCATACCAAGCCAAGCCTTGTTTAGGGCCCACTGCAGCCCCTGGGGTAGATAGAGGGGTTCTATAGGGACATATTGGGGTTATATGGGGATAATTTCCGGGATAACGGAAAAGAAAATGGAAACCACCATAATGGTGTTTAGGGCCCACTGCATGAAGCCCCTTTAGCCTTCGCGCTGCTGCGCGATGGTCCCCTCTACCTCTTGATTTTGAAGGGACTTGAGCAAGCGGGACAAAACTGCCATGTAGGCCAACCCCATCCCCAACCACCTTCTGCCCTTACGAAATATGCAGACTCAACAAATGCTGACAAAGAAAAAGTATCTCAAACTGGAGGACCTTTTGGCGGTTTGGCTGACAGGAACCTCAAAATCATCTGCATGAGGGGAGGGGAACTCCCGCACAAATACTCGCAGCAGCTCAAGCTCTACAAGTGTGTCATGTTCTTCTTGCATGAACGGTTCTGCAAGCCATGCTGAAAAGATTGAGCCGCATGCTCAACTTGAAATTTTGGTATTATTTACCAGGCAGACCGGTGCAAGCGCATCATGAGCTTTGGGCGAGATTAGACTCAGGCTTTTCAACGCTCTTATTCAGAAAAACAAGCAACGAATGCTGCCTCATGCTTAGAACTACATTTTAATGTCTAGATGCTGCTGGGTGCTGTTCAAAACGTGCGCTGGCCCTCCCACATGTCCCAGCTAGCACAGTACAGTACCCTGAGGAGCCTCCACAGGCACGGCTGGAGCAGTCACGGCAACAATCGTGGAGTCCTGCAAACACTACAAGAGTTACAAGAGTATTCAGAGATGGGCTGTCAAGCCTTGGTTTCAGCACTTGCCAGCTGATGCCTGGAAGCTTGGAGACATTGCAGTTTGCGACTCTTTGAGGAAAGCATGCAAAAACGACTTGACTCCGGAAAGTTCCCGATAACAAAGACCCATCACTCCAAAACTAAGACATCCTGGTGCCCTTGTGACATGCAGGACCATGTACATCTACAAAGTGCTGAAAAATACCAGGTGATGGCACACAAGGACGGCCAGACAAAAGTTTGCCAACGGTGAAGACTTGCAAGATAAAGATATGTTCCCCTTTGCACTTGAAGAAGCCTCCATGCAGGCTTGTCTCAGCCACGGCCGCATTGCCTGTCCTAAGCCTAAGACCGTCAACCTGATTGCTCTGAAGCGCAGCAGTCGTTCAAACACCTGAGACTAGATCCAAGCATGAAGACAGGATAAAGGTCTTGAGACGTACAAGAATCCCAGAAGTCCTTAAACCCTAAACGCGAGCCTACACTGATACCGGATACCTAATACCGGCCCTGGTCTCCGGAATGTTGATTGGCGCGTCCAGCTGCTGGAAGTCCTGGGGCAGTAGCGTCGACATTAAGACCTGTAGATCTGGACCGTAATTCAAGCAGATGAGGGTGGAATTGTGTGATTGGGGCACTTCGGCTTTGTAAGATCCTGCGTTCTAGAACTCGCTGTGAACAAGAAACTTGACCCTGACGGGTGTTTGGTTGTTTGCAGGGGTGGAGTCTCTGCTGTATGCCCCTGTGCATCTAATGTCATCTAACTGTCGAAGCCAAAACAGACTCCCTGCAGGTACAGAACCTCTGCAGCCACGCAGCCCCTCAAATAGAAGATTTTGTCCAACTACATGTCCGCCAAACGCAGGATACAACCAGGAATCAAGCTGAGCAGCCCCAAACAGCTCTCGCTCAGGCACGAGGCCACAAAAAAGTAAGGCTTACGGCTTACGGAAACGCGGACGTTTTAACGAAAACTGGGCTGCAAAAGCAGCTTTGGAGACCGTAGAACTGTCTATCGACTTGCATGTTCAGCTCGCTTCCTACATGTTGAAAAGGTTTTCTATCGCCTCATGATGTACCGGCGTTTTTTTCGCGATGCCTGTTATGTTGGCGGACGGCTCTTGCAGGGGTGGGGGGGTAGCTGCCATCCCTGTAAATATTTGTGCTTGTTAAGCCCTTGTAAAGCAACGCAAGATCCACCAAAAATGAACATCTTCCTGGATGGGTCGGAGTCAGAGCGCCCGTATTGTGGCTGGACACCATTTGCCGCAGGCAGGCTTTAACTACGAGCATCACTCGAGGACGCAGAATTGCATGCAGCTGTCACCCCCGCAACCTCAAACATCCAAAACCTAAGCGCCTATGTAAAACCTACGCACTCAACCCTGAAATACCAAACGATGAATCCGTTAAATCCCAAGACCGACACGACAAGACAAAGCCCTTAACTTAGACGCTCCACTCATCAAACCTAACCCTTTAACCCTAAATCTCCATCACCAAAGACTTACTGGTTGCTTTCAGGGAATGAACGTATTGAATAGCAAATGGCAACACCGCATCACGGAGATGCGGCTACTACAGCGATCTCCCTTCCTCCATTTCCTCTCCACAACCAGCGAGTCAAGCCGCGTCAACCGACCAAAATCCACATATAAATACACAACATCCCAAGTACCATTAGGCTTTATTCTACCTCCATATCCCTCTAAAACGCCCAACAGCTCTCTATGTAACCCCTTGTGGCTTCCAGGCAAAGGTCCTTAACCTCGCATCCCCGGACCTCTGCTAACTGGGCCTGGGCGGAATGGGCGGGCGCTCGAAAAATCATGGTTTCATGATGAGAACACTAGCAACAACCACCGTAGCTAACATTCATACTAACAAAGACAACCAACATCATCATCACCATCATCATCCTCATTGTAATACGTGATGGAAACAAACATGGCGAGTAGCAATAGTACCTAGTAAGCAGACAAATCTTTTGACATGACGAACACAACAATGACTATCTAAAACAGCTCCCAAGCCTGAAATGAAGCAATTCTGGCACCATCACGTGTAGTGACTTCGGATGAGGTCGTTGCAATTTTTTCGTGGGTCTTTTCTGTGGTGTCAGGCTTTCCAGTTGCTTGGTC